AAATATCATGTTTCATAGATACCATCCTCAGCTATAGACAGACGCATAACCTTTACGTCAAATATCTCAACAATAACAAGTTTGTCCATGCGATCTTGACATCAAAGTCTGAGCGACTACAATAATAAATCTCGTCAACATAAAAAAGTTTAATAACGTCATAATGCAAACGCTTTATGTGTCAGAGTCTGCTTCTGTCATAGAATATAGCATATCCAAAGACTAAAAACTCAACGGTAGTTACCAGAATGTGATTGGTTTAAAGAACAAAGGGACATTATCATGGTGTAATAATACGAACTTCTTCCGCCTTTATCATTTGTACATATCGTTCTCAGAATGTAAAATTTAGCAGTAAATACTTTGTCTCTAAAGCCCCATGTTCCACTAGGAACCCAAGGGACAAATAATAAAATACTTTACCGCATTATGATTATAAGTGCTTTTCACGACTACCAAAAGAAAAACGTCTGTTGGACATTTAGATTGTCTTGTAGGGAGAGAGTCCCACTGAATTCTTCTTTTGGCAAACATGGAGTGAACAGAAAACTTGTGTCAAGAAAAACGAGCGGAAAATAGGGGTTATTGGAAAAATATGTTTCTCCTCCACCCCTTTCATATATGTTACTGCTGCCGACCCCACGTCCCCCACTTCCGTATCGCTTAACGTTACCTTCCCATACATATCGCATGGTATCATATTTCATTATGTTAAAAGTGAATTACGCTGATTGTATCCTTTCAGAGGAATATCCACTTTAAGTCAATCACTGTTTAGCTTTTTGCGCATGCCAAGTCACCGAATACCTTGACATGTCATGCTCGGGGAAGGTAGATTAAGTTAGAAGAGGGCTCAGGGTAAACAGATCAAGACGTGGTACCAGTCGATGAAGTCCTTAACTGTTTTTCTGAGCCGTGTTGGGATATGTAGACTACCAGGTTGTGGTCTTCGAAACGATAGGTATCAGCGGTAGAAGAATTTTGCTGACTTGGCTGGAAATCGGTCGCAGTGGCGCAGATGTGTTCACTCTGTCGTCCAAAGCTTGAATATTCACATTCATCTTCATCTTCAAATTGTTTATTCCCTCACAACTTTGCTTTGATCTCAGTCTTTTTTACTCACTTTTTCTTTGTGTAATGGTGTAGTTTGGCAAATTGCATCAATACACTTATGTGCGGGGTTCTACGTTGATTTTGTCTGTCTGTCTTTTTAGCTTTTATGACCACGAAGAGCTGAACTGCAAGGACAATCTTCTCACCACTACCTATTCATGGTAGTTAGTTTTCCAGCTCTATCCTTTTGACTCTGTTCATTGCCTTTCAAACAATATATCACACCATAAGCTATGGTGTTGTAGATTATACTGTATTATTGTTATGACCAACTGTTGATAGGTTTCCGTCCAGCCTGTAGATAGGTGCGTTATTACAAGGGGCACGTAAAGCAGTGTTTGGTGGTGACCACGAGAATCTGGAAGGGAGAAGAGAAAGCGAAAAAAGTAAGCCGGCAACTCAGCAAGTATACAAGATGTACTTACATTTGATAATAAAGATAGCTGACAAGCGGTGGGGCTGAACAACAAAGAAGTAAGGCAGTCTAGAAATCGAAACTGGATGACTGAGATTTCGGATGCGTTACACTATGACATGTCCAACAGGAATTATCATATCTGACATCCGAATATCCTTACTCGCTTTCTTGCAAACTGCGATATTTATCGACGGTTTGCACTGGAAAACGAATGCCACCCTTGGACAGGGTTTTGCGGTAGGGTTCCTCCACGAAGTTGGAGTTTCTCAAAGGAATTGTTTGCCATTCGCTTCTGAAAACTGTAGAGAAGTGTAGATGTTATCTACCCTAATCCACACGTGTGGTATCGGTTTTGTGCTGTTTGGTTGATGAAGTTGAGACGAACAGCATTTCGTCTGTTATATTGTCTAGATCTAGCACCGTTCATATAACGATGCAATTTGATCATGTATCATTCGAAGGAAATGCTGACAACGAATCTAAAGAACAAAACGTTTCGATTTCTTCAGGCAGATGTGTATGCATTACACAAATTCATTCTCACCTTAGATGCGCGCAAAGTTGATTAAAATGTGAAGTGGTTTCTGTATGACAACTTCCAAATACAACTAACAATTTAGAGGTGGCATAATCAGCATATACTTAAAGAAAGTCCTATGAAGCTGTCATAACACTTGTTACAGGAGAAATTCCAAAACTTCTGGTCCTGTTTACTATGAACACGATCGTAGCTGAACTTGAAAGCAACACTCATCGTGAGGAAACCTGACGTGATATTAAGTCTGCCGTAGGAACAGCGGTAAAAGTAGTTGATAACCGACACCCGAAGGTTAGCAAACGTCATTGGATTTCCGTGACGTCGTCTAAACTGATTGATACCACAAGACTGATTTCAGCTAAGTCTGATCGTGACGAAGAGCAAAGGCAACTTAAGCATAAGCTGACCAAGAGTCATCGCATCGATGGCGAGTAGTGATAAGTAGCGAAAGCGAGAGAGATGGGAAAGGCATCAGAGTTGGGTAACACTCAGCAACTACTTAAGCTTATTAGGGTTACTAGAAAGATGTTGGGGAGCGATAACCTCCTAGGACAGGCAGCTAGGACGTTGGGCAGAACACTTTGAAGCACGGTTCAACTAGCCCTCAGCAACGCTTCAGTTGCCCATCGTCGAGCCTGAACCTGAATGACACGAAAATGTCAGCCCTTCAACTCTATGAAGTTGAGAAAGCTGCATCAAACCTGAAACGATACAAAGCAGCAGGACCTGACGATTTGCCACCTGAATTTTTCAAGGATGGACGTAGGGAATCGCTAATTAGAGTGACGGAGGTACTAGGTAATGTATGAGAATCGGAGATAATGCTGACAGACTGATATACTTCACTGATTATCTCATTGTATGGGAAGTGGGAGAAATCATCTTTTGATAACCATAGGGGAATTAGTTTGACTGATACCATTTCCAGGATCCTGGGGTCCATAGTTATTCGGCGCCTAACTGGATCTCAAGAACAGCAAACTCGAAAAAACCACGCAGTTTTCAGACCTGGACGAGAGGGCGTAGATAAGATTTTTGCCTTCTACGGGTTCTGGAAAACAGGCATTCTTACGCAAATCAAAGCTATCTGTTCAGACGCACGCAGCCTTGATAGGGCTTATACAGAGTTGCCATCAAAACTGATGATTAGTGGTGTCCTCTAGGGATTCCCACTTTCAGTGTTCTCGCCTAACTTCATTATAGATGTGCTAATGGATATAACTTTAGTTGTCTGACTTCGGAGGTCATCTAGTTGACTTGGAGTACGCAGATGATAATATCTTGTTAAGTGGAAACGGTGACAAAATGCAAGGTCTTCTGAATGCGCTGAGCAAATATCTGGGTATGTTTCCCGTACGTCTTGCACCTACCAGATGTAAGATGGTGCTCCAGGACTCATCTACAACCACTTTCAGTTTAATAATAGAGAGTAAAGTGGCGGAAAGTGTCGACCACTTCACTTACTTGAGGAGTTGTACTAGCTCGAAAGGGCTTGTTGGTGACGAAATCTCAACTCGGATACAAAAGGTCTGTTTGGCATCTGCCAACTTGCATCATCTGTGGCCTGAGTGGCGATATATCTGACTACCTATCAAGGGATAAGTATACTGCGCTGAAATCCGTTCTGTTCTGTTGCATGGATGGATGACCGTCAAAAACATAAGATATGGAGAGACCACAGGTTCTGACGGTAATTATCTTCGTAACACTGCTCGCGTATGTTGGAATCACTATGTTAGCAATGTCGAGGTTGGGTGAAATGTACGAGGTAAGGAAGGCAAGTCAGTAAAAGTTGTGAACCGTCATCGATCGAAGCGGTCTAAATATATGTTGCGCATGCCGCGCTGCTGCCTACGTCGACGTGGTGTTAAGTGATGTAGGGTTGAGTTGGAAGACGGTTCACACTGACCAGACGAAAGCTTGGTACCAGTTAACGGAGTCTTTTACTATTAGTTTCAGCTATCTACAGTTATGCAGGCTGCCTGTCTGGGTTTCTAGAAGTAATTAAAAGCAATAGCTGGAGATTCTTGGAAGTATGGCTGAAATTTGGTCTCACTAACTCAAATGTGTGCACGCTTTATCATCTTATGTATTTTTATTTACCTCCATCTATTTGTTCTCACTCCTTTCATATAGTTCCTTACGTTAGTATCATTCTTTCTCCATTCTCTTTCTTGCATTGTGTTGTAAAGCATGGAAGCTTGAACAAAAGAAATTCTATGACATATCGCACGTTGATTTGTCTATTGCCACCCAGTTGCTTGTTACAATAATGAGCAGGAATGGCTAATTTAGAGTCAACATAACCAAACTATCTTCTAAAATATAACGGCAAACATTCAATAATATTTTCAATTGATAGTTGAAATTTGCCTTCTCTGTATTTCTTGTGGCAGTATGTATTCGTTAAGAGTTGCAACCAAGTACATCACCTCGATAAAATAAAGTGGAGCTTCCGCTGGTATTTTAAAGCTTATAATGTCATTAATAGGTTGGACGGTTAATCGACTACTGTCGATTTTCCTCCATGCTTCTCGTTCTAACTACTTTAACGTGTTTCATAAATAGACATTGGTTGAAAATGTGGCTTATTTGAAGTGTGTAATTCAAGTAACACTTTTCCGTAGAGTAAAGTCCTGTATTGACCTGAATTTTGTTGTACAATACATAAACAATTTACCTGCCAGTATCTTATGTTAAGGAAAAACGCTACCAGGTTTAAGTGTATGAATCTACAATCTATTGCGATAAGAAGACACGCACAACGTATGCTGTATTCGATTTGATTTGATTTAAAGTCACCATCGAATTACCATATTCTCTATTTTATTACTGTTTTCAAATGCTTTCATCTATTAACGAATAATTATTTATTTGTTTACTGTATATATATATGCTTAACATAGATCTTTAAAAAACCCTACAAGTACAATGACTAAAACAGTTACTATGAAGTATTTGAGTTTATTCGTTCTAGTATTCCAGAATCTGTTGTATATCTTGTGTATGCGTCATGCAAGATCACGCACAACCGAAGTCTTTATCCCCTCATCTATGGTGATAATGAGTGAATGTTTAAAACTTTTAACATGTCTCTGTGTACTAAGCATTACTGGAGATTTGAAGCGAACATTTAGATTGTTACAACGTAATCCACTCGATGTTTCAATGACCTTTATACCTGCCATAATATATGTGATTCAAAACCGCCTGTTAATAGCAGCTTTAAGTAATTTGGATGCAGTTACATTTCAGGTAAGAGTAATATTCCATAATAACGAATCTATTAGTTTAGGTGGCGTACCAATTAAAATTGTTTACGACAGCGCTATTCAGTATGCTTATTCTTCGAAAACCGGTTAGTGGAATGCAATGGTTTGCATTGGTTTTACTGTTTATTGGTGTTGCTGTAGTAGAGTCACCTGCCAACACCAGTAAATCTGCTCAGCCACCAGTGGCACACAACCCTCCTTTTGGACTATTCTGCGTTGTCTGTGCCTCAATACTTTCTGGTTTGGGATGTGTATTTTTTGAAATGGTAGGTTATATCATTGTTTAAGGTTCAGTAGTACCAGCCTTCCTAATATTTATGAATACATTGAGCTAACACTTACTCATGTAACAAAGAATGTCATCGAATAAGATTTTACAAAATTACTACCAGATATATCTATGTGGCTGTTTATTGTATTTTGTAACACTAAGGTCCTGTTTCGTGTTATACTATTGTCTCTCGTTACCATATTCCAAACATAAATAAACCGTTGGCGAATGGCTTCATTATACTCATATGATGAGGTTAAAAGATTTTTGTGTAGAATAAATAACCTGGCAGTTAGTTATTATCAAAAGCGTAGGTCGTCAATGATCTATCAGGTAAATGAAAGAGATTTGTCTGTATAAATTTCTCAGGTACACAGTAGGTTGCATTCTAATAAGCTTTTATCACTCTGAGGAGTTGTGTGTATTTATTTATTTATTTGAAACTAGTTTTGGTGAAATACATTCGCTAAAATAGATATGCAGTGAACAAAACAGTAAATTTTATGTTAGTAGCAAATACATACATAACGACAAGAGCGAAAACCGTACTCATCAAAACGTGTTAAATTTCTTGCTACGCTACAGAAAGCCGAATGGCAACCATATGTAGCAAAGTTTGAAGCCACTGAGTTTTACATGTTAAAAAGAATCAGTTAGGCATTAATTGACAAGGATTAGAGTTCCATTTTGTAGTTGACAAACCAACTGCATTTTCGAGATGTGGAAAACGAAGATTCTAATAGAGTTTTCAGTGCACTGATTGGTCACTGGAGGGTAACCCGACTTCATATTGTCTAGTCCTAAGTGCTGATCGAACTCTACCGCTCATTTTGCAATATGGTCACCAGACTAGGCAACTCAGAATCGCGATGTACTTGTTGGTACTCGTTAGCAAGGCGTATCTGCAACCTCGACGGAACTGATGTCTCATCTGAGATTCAAACCTGGTTCACTCAATGTTGTAGTCAGCGACGTTACCGCTGGGCTATTCGGGCTACGAATGATCTCCTGTAGGATTAGATTAGATACATTAATTCGTCACCAATTTCATGTTGTCTAGTCTTAAGCGCTGATTGAATTTAAAACCACTAGGAATTCACCAAATGACCGAAGGTGAACATTCAAAAATCTTCCTTTCCCAGTTGTTTGTGAGTACAGGTAAACAATTCTGGTCAATGCTGGAGTGTTACCCACTACTACTAGGCAATTGAGTAACGATAACTACTTCTTGTGCAATATCATATCCTTGATATGTTTGAAAGAGGAAGATGATTGCTTGATTTTCCTAGACTTACTAATTAGTCGATGACTTGATGCATCTATAAAACTATCTGTTTACAGAAAACATACATGGATAGGGCAATATTTGAATTATCACAGCTTTTGATTACTTCAGTACTAGAGGGCTTTAGTTAGGTGCTTATTCAATAGGATTCAATGAATATACACAGGTAGTACTTTGGAAGAAGAGACAAGAACATTGATCGAAATATTGTTGGAAAATAACTATCCACTGAAATTTGTTATTCGGCACAAAGTAACCAAAAAGTCAAAACCTGCCGTTCACCTTCTCCAGATGGAGAACATATTCACTAGTCTTCCCTACGAGGGCACAATCCTGAGACAGAGACGTAATGCTATTAGAAGGGCTTACCGTGTAGCTGAAGTCTGATTAATAGAAACCACTAAGTTCAAATCCTTGCAGCCTGTAAATGATAATGTCACATCCCATTTCATCTACCAGTTCAAATGCACAGATTGATATATCCATGCGAGTAAGGACCTCGAAGCATATTCGAAATTGGCTACAGAAGCAGTTCGAATCATCTGAACTTATACACGTTCGTAGCAGATATCAGAATTCTTCTATTGTGAAACATACTGTTAAGACAAGCCGCAAGATTGATGCTTCTACATCCTTTTTACCTATTTGTAGAAAGTGTTGTGGATAGATCCCTAAATATGGCAAGGTCTTAGCTATTCATGAAGTTTAAACCATATTTATGTCTGCAAAAGTAGGTTGTTATCACACTTAATCTGCTTTGGCAAATTCAACTGTGAAACAAATTTCAATGTACTATTATTTTCACTGTATGGTTATTCAACCTTTAATTTAAACTTTCTACTTGACCTCTTTTCATATTCTCACCCCTTGTCTTTGAAATAAATCTTCATATGACAAGTAAGTATGTGTTTAACTAAATGTGTTGCACAGATACATTACACAGTTCAGAGAAATTGCGTCTTCTTCAATCATTTGGTGTAGTCCTTCAGTTGGTAAAAAATATTCACTAACCAAGTGGAGGAATTCTGTTTCAGTTGACAAGTATTTGTCAATCAGGTAAAGGTAATTTTAAGTCCATAATCATCATCATTATCAATATAGGACCAGGCATTACTGCGTAACGGTCCGAGTTGCCACACCTCATATCAGCACATCAAGTAAAAAGGTAGTGAGGCGAAGGATGAAGGTAAGTGAATGCAGTCAAAAGAAATATAAAGTACGAGAAGAAAGGAAAGAGGAGTGACAAAATGGTGAGATTCGGTATAGCGTTGTTAAGATGAGGATAATGTGTGTATACATCTGCGCCACTGACTTCGGTTCTGAGCCATATCACCTAGGGTCTCCAACCACTGGTTCCTCTTGTCCCGTGGACCCCAACCAACCTAGTCTGCATCGTCCTACATGGCTTAAACCAACAGTCAGAGACTTCATACATTGGTGCCATGTTTTAGTCTGGCCACCTCGAGCCTTTTTCCAGCCTGGACCCACCTCAGCCAACATTGTGTGACGAGGCAATCGGTGACTAAGTCTATAAGAGGACTTAACAATTGTGAAAGAATGTGGATGGATGAGATCAGCCAATTCCATAATCGTATCCTTCTTAGAAATCTGGTCAAATTGGTTGGTCAGATTCAATATACACTAATCGCATTGAAATTGCGTAAAATACTCGACTATAAATTCACGTTTACGAACATGTTGCTCCTCTTTTATTAGGAATTGCTCTGATGGTAATTTTTAGTGAAACTGTGAGTCATTGGTTTAGGTGGTTGACTTTTCAACTAGAGATTCAAGCGCTCAAAACTCGCCCCACCTACCGAGTTGTGGACAACCAGGTACTATCATTAACTGTTACACTATACATGTGACTCATTGCCTACTGCACCAGGGTGGACGTGATTGCTGAGTGTGTTTCAATTTTTTTTAAAATTTCTGGTATGACATTGGGAAGTTTTTCAATTAAACCTTTTCCTCTGGGAACACCATTTAACACTATATCACAAGCTAACCTGTTGAACTTTCCGGATCAACAAGGGAATAATATTACAGGTGAAGAAAGGAAGTAATATTCAAGAAGTGCAAACAGGCATGAGTTGCAAGTATGCTTAACCTGTCAATGAGGACATCACATTGGGGAGTTGAAGTGATATGGTTGCTGTTCTTCGTGTTTTCATTTCATTTTTATTTGCTTGCAGACTAACCCCCTTATTGTGTTAATTTCACCCGACGGATACCCGCTACCTTTCTTGTGATAGTCGAGTTTGCATATCCAATGAACTGTACTAGCTGGAGCATTTGTTCTTTGTGGTGCTACCGTGCCACAAACGTCTGTTAAATGGTAGTGAGACAAAAAGCAGTCATCAGCATAGTGGACAAATAGCTTACACTATAGTCAGGTGCGAAAGAGAAGTTGTACTACTGGCTGAACGGTAAGGTGTTTCCCTTGGATAACCAGCAATTCATAGTAATACTGCCTTTTGTATGTGAAGGAGAGAGGGTTAGAAAGGCTCAGTGCCAAAAGCATCACACTCCTTTCTGCCCTGCAGCATTCCGGCACTGGGGTTATGGATTTCTTTGGTCTGGTGATAGTACAATCAAATCCTAACCCAAAACTCTTTCAAAAATTGTGGGTGACTAACACCAAGCAGATATCATTTAGGCTCTGTGGTCACATATTACTTTTACTTATTAATTTCCTCTTTCAGGCACCTTATAGAAACAAACTGTGTAGGCAGCCAGGGGGAACACTAACCCACCTCCATGCTTCCTGTAGGATACAAAACCTAAATAACCATAACCTAGCTATCCTTTACTTTATGTTAGATATCTTAGATTCAAGTATCTTCTACTCATCTCGCCATAGATTAGTTATTCGCTTGTTCTGTCTTCTGATATACTTTTGGTGATGATTTATGGGTAGTTGGTAAACACACATTAGTACAAGCAGTGAGTAGCATTCTGTTATGATATCGGTTTCAGCATATATTCATTCTAATACTTTCGTTTGTTTGTTTATTTTCCTTTTAAAGCTTTTGAAAGGTACAACTAAATCTCTATGGCAGCGTAATATTGAACTAGCTTTTGCTTCAATTATCACAGGTATACCTGTACAGCTTCTTACTGATTGGAACGATATTACACAAAAAGGATACTTTTATGGTTTCAATTGGTTTGTTTGGGTAGTTGTATGTCTACACTCTTTTGGTGGCTTGTTAGTTGCTCTAGTTGTCAAATATGCCAATAATATTCTTAAGGTAAGCTTGTACACTTACAATCACTATACATTTCACAATAGAGTTATTCTATTAGCTTCATTTTCAGATGGTAAACGGTCTGGTTGTCAAACTGGATATTATAATCCGTGCAAACTCGAATTAGTGATTCTGCTCGACTATTCATAGTCACTTATAGGTGATTGACTCTCAGGTTCAAATGTAACTTGTCGAAGTGGCATGGTTTAAACATAATTGGAGTATCTGACTACACTTGGTTTAACTATCCCTCGGGGTGAATTTCTTCCTTAGAAACTATTTAAAGAAATACCGTTTAGTGAAGATGCTTTTGATCTAAAGAACACAATTTTGTGGGGCGCAATGTCTACGTTGATTACATAATCACTGTATAGTTTAGTAAGTTGCTCCACTGCCACTTTCACCATAAGGCGGAATATACCTTCAGTGGCCTGGTGGATAACAATTTGGTGTTTTAGTCTCAGTGGTGTACAGTTACATCCGGCTGATGAGTCGCAAATGGGACGAAACACGCATCTTGGATTCCTCTGCAAGTTATCAACATGAATACAACATCAGCAATATACATCAGTATTTTCAAATAAACAAGTGTTATCTAAGTTGAAACACACTAAATTTTTAAAATAATTCTAGTTTCTCTATCATTTCTTGCCTAAGTTGATAATCGATTTACAATAATCGAAATTGGTATTGATTATAATTAGTCCCTTACTTCTGTCCAATAAACCTTAATTTAAGCCTTTCGTGTTTCTTTGTATTGATTAAAAGAACTAATTAAGGGACTATTGTGTTTGTTTATACTTGGAAGAAATTGAATAGAATTCGGGGGTTTGTGGAGATTGAGAGATTTTTTTTCTTCTAGTTGGTATGAACTGATGTTAGTTGGAGGAATATTGGAAACCTGGAAGCACTAGACAGCTGTTTCGTCGTAGTATAGGACTCTAAAGCAATGCGCACCCACTACCCCACCAGGGATCGAACCCGCGACCTTCAAATTCCGTGGCCAGCACGTCACCATTCAGCCACTGGGTCGGGATCCAGTGATCCATATCCCCAACTTCTATCAGTTCACGACATAGCGTGACCACCACCCAATATCATTACTGAGGATTTGTCTTCATGGCCACCAAGTTTGCCCCACTGGTCACGACTTCTCATTGGAACTTCGGGAATCACTTCTCGTAGTTAGTCACTAATGAGCACTAGTGCAATTGAATTTGGGGGTTTATGGGGATTTAGAAATTTTGTTCTTCAAGTTAGTACTCATCATGGACTGATGTCAACTGCGTTACACTTCAGTCCTCTTTGTCCTTTGTTTACAACTGTAAGACATGATGACGTTGTTTGGTGCTATACTGGGTCGAATTACTCAACCTCTGTCGTCAGATGGGCTCCTACACGGGTGCTTCGATACTGCTCGATTACATATTTTGTTTGTAGTCTGCTTGGTGGTTAGCAATGAAATCCACGACGCCCGTTTCATCCTGTCCGGGACTTGTCAGTTAGATTTACTTACCTCCCAGTGAATGATCCTGGGACTCAAACCCTGGAGCGTTGTCTACTAGGCAACTAGGACATGAAAGCAACAGGTAGCCTCTATGCAGACTACAAGATAACCAGTAGTCGGGCACTATCCAGGCGTCTGCAGACAGAGGTCGAGCAGTCCGACCCAGTGTAGCAACGAAACATCACAAGTATCAATACATGACAAGTGATGCCCATTGCATAAGAAGTGGCTCTCGTATCTGAGTGACTTAGGGAACAACACTTCGGCACAAGAAGCGATGGGTACTGCATTTGAGCTCCAATGGGGACACCGGCACTGACTGAAGTGCAGGTACATCCAGCTGACGAAATGTGCGTCCCGAATTCCACTGGTAGCTACCAAGCGAAGCTGACATTATTATGTGTTACAGGCATTCGACCTAAGGTGTTTTCATAGTATCTTTTACTTTTAGTAAAACTGTACGATGAGGTGGTATATTGACGTCAAATGCAAAATAGTTCATTCACTCTAAATAGAAGTACGATTAGGTTTAATGGAAACTAAGGGTAGTCAAAGCAAAACATAACCTACTCAATTGTCCCATAAGCCGTATATGCAGTGCTGTCTGCGTGTATGATCCTCTAGATGGTAGAAAATAAACATTGAAGACTACAGGGGGGATATGGTTTGAGGCGGACCACTATTGTGCATGTGTATTCACTCCCTACGATGAAAGTTCTGAATATTTCGTGTATTATTAATTAATTTTTCCTCTTCCCCCTCCCCCTGGCCCCCACCCTACCTATCCTTTTTGTTTGTTTTGGTGTGTTTTCTTGCATTTCTTTCTCTCCTTTTGTGTTGTTCCAAGGTGTATGTCAACTTGAAACGAGATATGGTTGAGTTCTACTTTAATATGTTTATTTAACTAAAGTTAAACCAAATCATTGGATACTGTTGTAAATAGGAGACACTAAGTTTTCCGGTTGAGACCAGTAAAAGAATTCAACTTGGAGTTATTTGTTTATTGAACTCAATGATTCATATTATTTTGAGTATGAATTACTTCTAGATCCGATTCTTTATCTTTGAATGTCTCTCATCAACTTGAACAGTCTCCGTATTACATCAGATTTTGCGAAGAAGCGATTTGTTTAAACTTATGTTCTAGTCAGAATGATAAATAAATGTAACATTGTCATTGGAATTTTCAATTCTTCCCGTTGCCTGATTGATGGGATATCCCAATGTGTTGATATTCCCATGGGTATTGAAATCCAGTACCAAACATTTTAAATGTCGATGACAAAGTAAGACTTGTCAAATACTATTTAGTTGTCGTAACTCATTTGGCTAGTGAACAGAATGCTGTCGTTGGAAATTATGGGTGGTTGGTTTAAATCCCAGTGGAAGCAAGTACATTAAGTTGATGAAGTCAGATTAGGACGAAACATATTTCCTTTGAATTCTACTGGTAAATACTGAAAGAAGAAAAATCAGTGTCGTTTGTCATAGAAATTAATGTTGAGTGTTTTCCTGGTAATTCTGATTGTTCAACCATGTTGTGGCCTTGGTAATGAATGTGACTTAACAAATTATTTTTGTATATGCATAGCTGTTGCTTTGCATTACGAATTACCAAAGCTTCTGTCATATATTTTTAAGCATAGGAGTAAACCCTTTTACGATAACTTGATTAGTCACTTGAGAATAACCAATCTTATATTGTCTCATCCTGAAGATGTTGATTGGACTACCATTGAATGCTAAATGTTTGGATTGTTACGAAAGTGATTTAGTATAATAACAGTTAAGAATCAAGGTAGGCTGAACAGCAGTTTTGTCCAATTACTATGCGATGTTTTCAAGTAAATATGTGCATCCATACGCCTTAAAGTTATATCAAAGGAGTGAAATACTTATAAACTGTCGAACTTAAATACATAGTGACCAGAATTTTCAACTTCATGAGACTTTTCATACAAAATGTTATATATTCTTAATTCATTTTAGTATACATGTTATATTGTTATCCTTACCTCCTTTCTAATATTTTTAGGCATTTGCTTGTTGTGTCTCAATTGTACTGTCCTGTGCAATTTCTGTCATCTTTCTTGAGATGCAGTTGACCAGTAGTTTTATGATCGGTGCGTTAGCAGTCATCGTATCATCTGTCCTGTATGCAATCTTTCCTCCACAAGTGAATGTATAGTACTAGTATTTTCTAAATGTATTATTTACTGTGACTCCTTCTTATGTATTCTAGTGTTTCCCTAAATCGATGTATATAATAGTTACTATTTTTCTCCTGTCACCTAATATTTTGTTTTGCACACATCAGCTACTCATAAGTAGTACAAAAACGAAGATTGAAATATTTTCGAGAAAATTGGTCTTTAGCTTATTGACTTAGTATTGCAGCTCGTTCTCTTCTATATTCCACGACCTGCTTTTCCTTTGTATGTTTTTCTCTACTGATTCCAAGTTTAATCCGTTTTATTAGTCTGTTGGACTATATAAAAGGCCTAGACTTTTATATCGCTTTTTGTTATAGTCCATTTCATGTACATAATGTGTACCATAGACAAAAAATACCTCTCTTTAAATAAACTTATGCATGCTACCCGATCTGTAATAGGTATTATTGAATCGCTTAGCGTTTTATTTTGCCTGGTATCAGTATGCTTTTGTGCCATAATCAGGAATATGATACCGATTATCAGTAATTGGGTGGAGAATTCAACCGTCTCACCCTATGTCAGTTAAAGTTGGCTAAGTAGAGTGTCAAAGTAACAGAGCCAAAAAGCTTACTAGTAGAACAGAAGATCAAAGACAAGAGACCAGATAAATTAAAGACAGCTTGCTCATCAACAGTTACCCTCCCAAATTAGTTGGTAAGTTCCTTAGGAATCGTAAGAAAAATATCAGTAACACAGTTATTAATAGTAGTAATAATCGCAGTAAATCGCAATACTGTAAAGAGATAACTTAAAACCTCTACAGTACTACCATACAAGAAAGACACCTCAGAAACACAATATAGAATTCTCAGTAAGGTTGGCTGATATTAGAGTGGCATTTAAACCTACAAACTCACTTCGAAATAAGCTTTGTAGGTTAATAGATCTTATTGACCCAATTAAGCAGAATAACTTAGTTTACGGAATCCCTTGCAACGATTGCGAGGTCAAAGTAGTCAACCAGGGTCAGTTAAGCTATCTGAGCACAAAAACCTGGCTAGGTCAAAATTTTTAGATCCTAGTAAGGTAGAGAATTCAAAAAAAAGCTCAACCATGCACGCGATTACACACAATGGGACATAACAGAGCGAAGATTTTTCAAACTAACATAGCAGGGTGAAGGGAGAGATTGACAACTGAATCTTTGTTTGTCGAATCAACACCTCGTATGTGCAACAGGAATGACTCACTACCTATGTCACAAAGGGGCTAAGAAATTGGGACTGTATAAAGAATATCTAAAAGTTGTGGTCTTATCTTCATATGACTGGACAACAAATTATGTCCGAAACTTAAGTCATTAAGCAATACTGTTACATTGTGTGGTAAATCTAATAAATCAACAAAGATGGAATCATCCGTCCAATGACACCTAAGTTTGGAACTGACTAATAAACTGTGGAAATGAATTGATTTAAGGAGTTTCATCAATTGTATAAGCCTGACTGTGAATGATACCGGAGCACATGTACTAAACAAGATTTCAATAATGAATTTGAGTCATCTGGGATTTCGTGTCTGAAATACTAAAGAGTTGTCTATGCGAACTGACATACTCTCAGAAACATTATATCCATTCCTACAGTCGACAGTGAGCCGTGCCTATTGTGAGAGTTAATGACACTACTGCCTGGCTGTCCAAACATTGGCAGTTGAAGCAGTGCTCGGACTTATGGCTCATTGGCTGGAAGTCAACTGCCTAAACCAATGACTTACAGCTCCACGGTTGTCTATGCAAATGACTCGATGACGTTCTTGAGACATCTCTGAAAATGGTACATGATGGAAGTGTAGACCTACTACCCGGCCATTTGACCTTGAATATGCGGATGGTATTGTCTTATTGTTCGATAACGCAAACACTATTCAAACTACACTCGATCAGTTGGTGATTACTGTCCACAAATATGGTATGTGCTTTGCACCACTGAAGTGCAAATAAATTTTCCATGATTGGCGGGAGTCTGTGCCTGCTCCAACCCTTGGTGGCAAGCCGTTGAAAGTAGTTGAAAAGTTCATGTATCTGAGTAGTTGTATGAGCTCTGGTGGAGGTGTGAGTTATGAGATTTCTAACCGAATATCGAAAGCTAGAATAGCATGCGCCAGTCTCAGCCACCTTTGGCACCGTCACATCGTTAGTGTGACCGTAAAACGTTGGGTATACAACGTTTCGGTGAGGCCAGTTCTGTTCCACACCTGTGAAAACTGGACTCTAAGCTGAGGATATGGGATGACTCTGTGTGTTTAATCATCGTTGTCTCCGTAGGATTGCTCCTATCCGGTGGCAACACCATGTCAGTAATTCTGAGGTACGACAGCATGTGTTTGGGCATGACGGAGATTGTTATTCAACAAGTGAAGTCATCTGGAAATACCAGTTTCGGTGTCTTAGACATATGTTATACATGTCGTCCCAACAGCTTCCATACCGTTCACTGTTTTCTAGTCATAGGACTGGATGTAAGAGGTGGAGGGGTGGGTAGTATATAACGTGGCCCTGTGGGATGAAGCATAGTTGTATCGGGTTAGCATGTGTCGGTGCATCACGACTCTTCGGGTGAGGTCCGAGAGATCACGCAACTCAGTAGCTTGAGACATTATCAGATATGAATCGTAATCGAAACTAGTGGTGGTCATGGTGTAGCTTCCTCCTATCTTCTTATGCTGAAAGGCAATGAATGTTTCGTTTCGAATGTACCTTACTGAACTACCCTTCTAATCATTCTATTCTTATGTTTTCAAAATAGTGTTGTATTATTTTTTGTGGCATATTTCTTGGTATCCTTATTGTACCATTTTTGTGTTATAATGATGATCAATTCAAAGGTATCAAATATACTTTCCATCTTGCTAGTTTACTGTTAATGTTTATTGCTTATATTCAAGGCATATCTAATGCTTCAAATTCTCTGGAGCCGATTACTTTCAGAGTTTCAGTCGGGTCATCAAGAAGGATATCATTGAACAGCATCCGGATTTTTTATGTAAATATAAACGAAGAACAAAATAGAATACTTCGTTCATTCGACTCTTCATAATTGATAGGGAGAGTTAAATTTAACTATTCCTAAGGTTTGCATTTTTATATCACTCATACATATATAGCTGAAGCTTTGGTTATTTTTATGATCAAGAAAGTCTTTTCCTGCTTTTTTTCTTTATTGAATTTTATCCCACTTTACTTCGATAATTTTATTATGATTTTCATCTTACGTGTTTTCAACACTAGTATAGATTCATCCTTTATCTCTTGAGGTGAGTTCTATCTTTCTTGGGTTGTTTTTGTATTTTATCTACTTGAGCCAACCACCACTTGTTCTTCTGTCACATGTATGTTGACTGAGCAACGTTTATTTATCATTATTATTTATATTATTTTTCCCTTGGGTTCCTAGTGGAACATAAGGCTTCAGTAGCACGCCTCCATTGCACTCTGTCCTTTGCAGTCTTTCGAATCTGACGCCACGACTGCCCAGAAGCTTTCATTTCTTCCCCACACGATCTCCTTCATGTCACCCTCGGACGTCCAACTCGTCATTTCCCATTTGGATTCCACTCGAGGGCCTGGCGCTTGATGTCCCCAGTCGGCATTCTCAGTGTATGCCCAATCCATCTCCACTTCCTTCCAGTGCATATTTGTTGGGTGATAGGTTCTTGGTTGGTTCGTCACCAGCCAGAGTTCCTCGTTGCTTATTCTTTCTGTCAGTCCATCTGATCTTCAGTAAAGAGCCAGTGTACGCAGTTGTTGATGAATGTCTGTAGTTTATTGGAAATCCCTTTCGTAACGCACAAAGTCTCTGAACCGTACAGAAGCACTGACTTACTTGACGTTGGTGTTGAAAATCCGGATCTTGTTCTACTTGCTGAGTGTAGACGATCTTCACACTGGTTTCAGGCTAATGAACACCTGTCTTGCTTTTCCGATCCTGGCTGGCTTTCACGTCCTCGTCTTTGCCTTTGCCGCCTGTAGTTGGGATGATGCTACTCTGCCTAGGTAGGTGATAGAGGCTACTTCCTTTAGGTTTCTCCCGTTGGTGGTGATTGGAGCTTGTTGTTGATGCTGTTGTTGGTTGGGTATCTTCATCACCTCTGTCTTCTCTATATTCACTTGAAGTCCCGTCTTCGTTGCCCTGCCCTGCCTCTTCTGTCAACTTGCTAGTTTTCGCCTGTACATCTTCAAGTTTGTGTGACATTAGACATAAGTCATCGATGTCGAAATCCAAATCTTCTAGGTTCTTTTCCCCAGTCCAGCCAGCGTATCCCCTCTTCTCGCTCCCCACTGTTGTCTGCTGCATGATCCAGTCGACCACAATCAGGAATATCATGGGTGATAGCAGGCAGCCTTATTTTACTCCTGTCTTCACTTCAAAAGCATCACTGAGTTTCCCATTGTGAATTACTTGGCATGTGGCGCCTTCATATAGTTGTTGAATGAGGTTGATAAAAGTTTGTGGTACTCCGTAGTGTTGAAGCAGCTGCCTACCGAATTACTTGCAATTTGACCTGCACATTAGTTGTTCTTCCTGAATCCAGCCTGTTCCGGTTGCAGTTTTGAATGCAGAGCACTTTTTAGTCTCTCTAGGATGATGCGGCCTAATATTTTGCTTGGGGTGGACAGGAGCGTGATTCCGCGCCAGTTCTTGTAAAGACTTAGGTCTTCCTTCTTTGGGAGTTTGACAAGGTAGTCCTTCTTCCAGTCTGCGACGTTTAGCTGCAGATAATTGAATTTCTGTCTATCATAAATACAACTCGCTAATAATTTCATTGGAAAGTAGTACTTCTTTCCCTAAATCAAGCATAGTTTTGACATAATTAGCCTTTACACGAATATACTGATTGACATGGCTCTAGAGGCAGTTAGCTACAAAATGGGCTTAAGGATAATAATGAGCTTACGCTTCAAACTAAGGTGCTGATCGAGGAAATCATGCCAGGAGTACGATTGTGCCTGACATCGACAGTTTTTAAGGTTCAAGATAAAATATCTAAAGAAACCGGTGGGCTTGTCATGGGATCACTAATGTCCCCAATCGTCGCAGACATATTTATGGATATTTTGGAACGGATGAGCCTTCAAGTACTTAGTCCCAATCCAAAGATATGGTTCCGATATATAGATGATATGTTTACAGTAGTGAAATCGGAACACGTCAGTAGGTTCTCCGTACATATAAATTCAGTAGTGAATGCGATCCAATTTATCTGTGACTTAGTAAGTGACGAAGGTTAGCTAGCAATGTTGGACTGCAAGATTAAACGAAAACATGCTAGAAGAGACCGGTGTCTATAGGAAACCTTCCCATTCGAATCGCTACTTAAACTTCAAATCCTCCTAACCCATTTCAGTTAAAGTAGGCTTAGTTAAATACCTAAGTCATAGAAGGGAAAAGTTTACTAGTAGGTCAGAAAATCTGCGATAAGTAGTATTTCTTTGCTGAAAAAATCCTTTTCTTTACCAAGGCATGTTTAACTAGTGTATGTCCCAGGGACTACAACCCCTCCTCTTACACTTTATTGTATCACATTTCTGACCAGATGATTACGTCATACTCAGTCTAAAAGAGTATAACAACGGAGGAAATAGGTTGATTCGTAAATGAACTAACTATATAGGCTAGAGATTTTTGCTAGTAAGGTGAATAAAAAAGCCTGTCGGTGGCTATATGGCCCAGCGGTTCGGAGAGATGAACACTGAACATTGTATCGTGGGTTCGAGTCCCACTTCACCTTTAAACCCTATCTGCTGCGCGAGGTAAGCGGGGGTGTTTGGTTTCGGGGTGCATTTATTGAGTATGTACTCATATTATTCTGTGAAAATCTGCCTTAATTATGAGAAGTGGGCTACCTCATCTTTTACTTAATACTTCTCCAATCAGTTTATAAACAATATGGGACAAATACATCATTACATAACAGGCGGGTGAAGCTGTATTCTAGTCACTTCAACATTTGAAAATCCTATATCTCAGTAGTCAGTGTACTTTTACTTATCCACTGATGTGTACAATACCTATTAACTGGTCCCATGAAATAATATCGTTTTTGCATCCCAGTAGTTTTCACATGTTCCAAAACATCTACCTAAAAAGGAGAGACTGATTGATGATTGAATTTCTGATGAACATAATTTAAGTTGAAAGGTGATTTGGAAATGAGCAAAATACTAGTTCCAAGTCAGTCATCAAACAGGCAGTCTAGAATTTTTTGATACCGCTTCAGTACCAATCCAGGTGTAATCCAAGCATAGAACCAGTCTGTTAACTAATTCCTTAGACGGAAATCAACACTTAGGTGTTAGATGGTAAAATTCAATCGGCTCTAAGCACTGGGCGTTGGTTTTTCGTCTGTCTACATTTATGAGCAAAGCGTGTCTTCAACCTTAAGGGAACTCATATTCCTTCAAAGATTCAAGTCCACGTTACTCAGTGTGGAGGTCAGAGACTTTACTTATAAGCTACCTATATGATACCTGCGACTGGAGTTTGTACAGTTGGTTACTAGTGGCTACTAAATGCTTACTTAGTATTGGTCGAAGTCTTTTAATCAAGTCTACTATGCATTCAGTAATCCAACACTGTAATGCACTCTGTTTTGGTGCTAGATGTTAGTTTTTTTAGCTTCAAGACGAAATAAACTCGTTGAACAGTTTCATGTTTCTGTGGACCAATCACGATAAATTAGTCAGTTGCTTATCAAATAAGACTGTTCTTGCTGTCACTTATCAGGTTTCGTCTTTTCCTATTTCTGCCACGGAGGGGAGTGCTAACCTGGTCGCTAGTATGAGTTTTGCTTCTCATTTCACCTCTAATCATCAACCAGTATCAATAAAAGTTGGAAAACTGATTGTGTATATTTGTTAGAAATCTTGTCCCTTCAAAACCAACTAGTTCAGCTTCTGAGAAGAGGAGAAATTTGGTTATACTTAAAATCTTTATGAGTTTTTTTTAAATATTTTTCAATGTAGTATTTGACAGATGTCAGTTTTAAAAAATGGGAAGTAAAATAGCAAATAAGATAAGAGGTATATAAGGGAAATAATATCTATTAGGAATAATATTCAAGGCAATATTATCTACAGTTATTTGTGCTATGCTTATTATTCATACATAAATACATGTGTATAAAGGCTGTGTGTGACAAGCTATTAGAATGGTGTTTCATCTTCCCAAGTTGACAACAAGCTTTCCTCCAAAACAGCATTCACTGTGTATCGTCTAGAAAGGAAAAACACAAAATTAATTATACTACTCATTAGTAGGCGAAATAATTTTTAAATATTTAAGGTGCACCATTCATCATGTACAACAGTTCGATCGATATGAACTTAAAGTTTTATCGGATCCGCTTCAACATCACTAACTTCAGCGGAAATATTTGCTGTACAGGTGAAGATAGTTAAACACTACCATCGGTTATGTTTCGTGATTGAAGGGCATAGGTGCGTTGCGCTTCGGTTTTCTCATATATATGTCGATAACAGCACACTCCTATTATTAGCATTATATTAGCGTATTCCACTCGAGTTCCTAGCATCTATTCAAGTGTTTTATTTCTGACAAACTCACAGGGGGTAATGTTACAGCGTATAAACTGATAAAATATGGCTAAATTACTTTTGGTGCATGATTTCGCATACTTTACATTTCGTGGATGAATTTCATGCTACTTACTAGGTATTTTTAGTTCCTTCATTTATCAGAACTAACTGATAAGTCAACACTGCTAATTGTCTAAAGAGACTATCTGAAAAGTTGTTCCTAGAAAATTGACACCAAGTGACTATCTAGAAAAAAAGTTTGAGAAAGACGACAAAACTAAGAAATTTTATAAAGACCAGCTGTCACACGCGGAAGCTAAACGATGATCCCCTGTATATTCCCTTGATAGCTCAAGTAAAAAGGCCTATAGTGGGATGCTAGACATCACCGGAGTGAGAAAATTTATTAGCTGATGTCACCCAGTTTCATTGTCTGGTCTCAAAAGGATGAGTGATATGACCTATGAACTGAAAGTGCCAGAATTTTGTATACTAGAATGGTTGATCTCGAAGCGTTTTCCGGAACTCTAAAAATCTGTATTAACATATGAAACTTTCGGAAAGTTTCCTCGTATAAACTTGACAGACGCATAAGTCAATCACTAATTATCCATACTTGTAATATACCCAGGAATGCGAGACCAAGGGAGAACACAATAGCATAGTTGGATGGGAATAGTATACTTGAGAAGTCGTGCCAAAATATCGATGCATTTCGACTAATTGGCTATAGGGTCGATTATGAGCAGTGCAACGTAACACGACAACGTGCCAAATGGTGTAAATACCTGACTATGCGGCTTCAGCTTAGAAAGTTCGATAAAATTATAAAGGTCAGCATCAGTGTTGAATCTCGTCAAACCCTAGGCTATTGATTTTGGGGAAGTATCTGCCGCTACTAAAACGTTTTTTGGGGATTACTGAACATCAGTCATTATTAGTAAAAATCGGAAAAATATATTGATTCCGTTATCATCTGTTTCACTATTCTGAAAAAATACTTTCCACGCATCCATCGTCACTCAATTCCCTCTGTTTGTTTGAAATTCCGTAACATTATGTCACATTTACTGTTTAAAACAAATTCATATCACATTACACTAACCAGATTCTATGGTGTTTCATGCATCATCATATTTAATTGAGATTATAAGCGAAATTGAAAATCCACACTTAGTACTGTTTGAGACATTCGTTTATACCACTGAGACTCGAACCGTGGACCTTCTCTTCTATATGCTAGCAGGTTATTCACTAGATTAACCAACATCATCATTGTTCCCATAGGTATCAGTTGTTATCTGAACTTAAAGAATAGCTGGGTTTTAAAGCTATCACACTCATATTACAGAATATTTTTACACGTAACGGATACCCATTCATCAAGGTGCACCGCAATACTGAGCTCCTAGAGTGGTGACCGCATTGCAAAATGATCGGCAGCATTCAGTCTGTACTCAGGACTAACTAACGTGAGATTGGTTGATCTCCAGTGACCAGTCAATATGTGTAATCCAGTCGTACAGGAGGTTAGTCGCAGCGCGAATATCTTAATGGTAAAGTCGTTGACTAAAACACAAGGAGATTCGAGTTCAAATCTCAGGTGAGACATTAGTTCCCTCTATGTTGTAGATACGCTTTGATGATGAATGCCAACAACAACATAACCCAAATGGAGAAGGACTACCTGTCGATTACTTCCAACCAACTGACATTGAATCGATTTCTTTGTCAAGATACCATATGGATTCAGTTGAAACCGAGTTTATTTCAGGTGCCTGGATTCTTTTCATAATGAACAGTAATTATCACTCTATTGAATTATTAACCTAGTGGCTGAAAATTGAATATGTCAGCTTATTGTATCAGAGTTCAAGCAGAAGATTTAGAGATAAAGTGCACGATACAGTGTCAACCTACAAACTGGAAGTGCTAAAAGAATTTTTAATAGAAAAGGAGAGAGTGATACAAAGAATACCCCGGAACTGATGCCTTGTGGTTGAAGCTCATAGGTTATTAACCTTGGTTTCGTTAGCATACTTGGTTGTGTAATGCACAACGTCAATTGTAACCTAGATTCCTCAGTGATAACCTCTTTAGTGTAATGACAATGTTGTTTAACCCGGAACAAGTGTTTATGTTCTAGACTACTTGTCACACGTTGGATAAAGGCTTATGATACTGCCCGATCATCTAGTTTGAAGTAGGTGGACTATAGTTCCATATGTACTCGACTTCGAAGTGTGGGGTGATGAATAATACAAGTTTTGATCTCCGAAACAGTATAGGTTCTTGTTGTCTTCACTAACTGGCTTAATCATCATCTATCAAGAAGTATTCCGTGATGACAAGTCACTTGTTCTGGTGGCCATAGTGAAAGAATGAACAAAAGAATTGATCTGACTCTGATGTCTAGACAACGGTGTATTCATTATTAACCAGCAACTGATTTCTTAAAAATGAATCTTATCAGACAATAAAGCGAAAGTATATTAAAATTGTTGCTATGGTAACAGAATCGACAAAGAATTTTGCACGCTGATGGTTATAGTTATTTCTTTGCTCGAATGGATGTTTTATACAATATTGACCAAAAGAAGTTGGAAACTGTGAATCACGTGGTTCGAAGCTATTGGTTGGACAGCAACCTGTTAAACATGAGACCTAAATATCCCCGTGTCAGTTTTCCTGTATCGGTTGCAGTTAAGCACTGATGAACATTATGAAACTACAGTAAAAGAAATGGTCCATAATGAAAGAGTTAAACTTGGGCACTATGGAAGGTTATAAGTTCATACTAGACTTAGAAGTAGTATTCATCACGGACTGACATCAGTTGGGGAATCAGCTGAAACCCGGGAGCACTGGACAGCTGTCTCGTCCTAGTGTGGAACACCTCAGTAGTACGCACCTACGACCCGGCTAGGGGTCGAACTCGCGACCCCCAGGTCCCACGGCGAACACGTCTACCACTCAGCCACTGGGTCGGTTCCCAGTAGTTCACAATTTCCAACTTCTGTCAATTCACGACATAGGGCGACTGTCATCCAAGGTCTTCAGTTAGCATCCACTTCACTTCCGACTGGTTGACCCCACAGGCCATGGCTTCTCATTAGAACTTCCTAACATCCATCTGGAAGCAAGTCACTAATGAGCACTATAGAGTAATGTATTTTTGAGATGTCAGTCTGATATCAGTCCATGATGAATACTACTTCTAAATTAAAAATCCCCATTCATCTCAAAAATACATTACTCATATTAGACTGTTTATTGGATATAATACACAGTGAGTGATACTGTATTATTTACTGGATAACATTTCAAGCAGAATTTATCGCTCATATTCATATCAAAGTTATCATACGACTGACTTTGAAACTTCTTTTACATACTCTTATTTTTAAGTTAGTGAAATCTTCTAGATATTCTGTAAAATGTTTTGAGTCACTCTTGTTGGTTGATTCTCTGCTGGTTGATTCAATGAACAAAGACTCTTGGATCAATCTCTCCCTTCACCTAACTATATTGGATTTTAGAACTGTCATCCTATGGGTCAGTGCATGTGTACTGAGATAACTGAACTTGCCTCTAAATTGGTTATCTTACTAGGGTCTACCATTGTACGTCTCACCAAACCTTAGTGCTCTCTTATTCTGACTGATACTGATCGGTTGCTTTGACGTATATACTTGACCTCACTATCATTACATGGTGTTTGGTACATTCGGTTGTTTTACTGAATTGGCTCTACCGTATCTTCTAGCCTGAAAAGTTTCTCTCTGATTGAACTTGTAAGTTTAAATGCTACCCAATTTCCAGCAAATTTTCCTATGTATCTGCTTTATTCGGTGTCACTATTATTATTTGTCCCTTGGGTTCCTAGTGGAACACAGAGCTTCAGTAGCACGTCAACATTTCACTCTCCTCTGTAGAGTCTTTTCAAACTGGCTCCACTACTGCCCACAAGCTTTCATTTCTTCCTCATACCATCTCCTCCATATCACCGTCGCCTTGGACGCCCAACTCGTCGTTTCCCATGAGGGTTTTACTCGAAGGTCTAGTCTGGTGCGTGATTTCCCCAAACTGTCTTCTCGGCGTATGTCTCATCCAGTCCATCTCCACTTTCTTCTACATATTTGTTGGGCGATAGGTTATTGGTTAGTTCGTTGCCAGCCACAGTTCCTTATTGCTTATTCTCATTATTCTGGCCATCTGATCTTCAGTGTCAGTATCCAGTCAGTGTAGGCGGAAGCTGTTCATGTGATGTATATCTGCAGTTTGTTGGAAATGCTTTTGGTAACGCGCCAAGTCTCTCACCCATCACATAGAAGCACTGACTTACTCGATATTACTGTTGAAAATCTGGATGTTGTTCACGCTTTACGCTGAGTGCAGTAGATCTTTACACTGATTATTTCAGACTAATGAAGGCCTATCTTGCTGTCCTTCTGATTCTGGCTGCTTAGACGTCCTCATCTGTGCCGCCACCTGTTGTTGAAACGATGCTGTCTTGCCTAAAAAGGTGAAAGAGACTACTTCCTTTAGATTCCTCCCGTTGATGGTGACTGGTGCTCGTTGTTGTTGGTTGGGTATCTTCATCACCCCTGTCTTCTCTACATTCAATTGAAGTTCCGTCCTCGTTGCCGGCATCACTATAGGGGGTCTGAATTCCCT